TTTAAAAATAGCACAAAATTAGATATCAAGATTTGTGCACAAGGCACACCGGTGAAAGTTACCTCCAATAAAATGTTTTTGGTTTTTTTTTACATTTCTTCCCATGGAAATGAACTGCTTTTCTGGTACACAATCAGAAATAACACACACACAAAGTGACCAAGTGTTGGCTGTGACTCCATTTGACGCTATTTATCATGCTCCAGCCTGTAAAATGGCACTGAAACCTTTGATGTGGTTGATGTCACTTATGACACTCAGGGATCTTCTCTGATCCACTCAGCAGTGGTTTCTCTCCTAGAAAGCTTCTCCAGCGATCTGGTTACTCATACACATCCTAGGGCCTTCTGGTTCCACAGACATATCAAGACTTTCCATGCCATTTGGGATTTTTCTGGTGGTAACACCTCTGCCAACCGCTGTTCAGATGAGGAACACCATGGAACAGAGATGGAATCCAGAGTGGTCCTGACCTGTCATGAACTCCATCTGTGCCAATAGTATGACATCCGAGAACCGCACAGGTTTTGTAATGTAGGCTGTTGGGCAAAGAGATAGGAAGTGGCAAAGGGCAGGGTTTTCCTCCAACACTTATTCTGATTAAATTTTCACTTCCTTCATGATTGCATCCTCCTTTTGTGCTCCCTTCCTCCCTTCCATTTCAGGGCCAGTTCAGGATGGGACACAAGAGACTTAAGAGTGTCATGCTTCCCAGGCATTCACTTAAATGTGAACTGAAAACAATCCATCTTGCACCATTCAAACCATTTAACTGCAAACAGCTTTTCCTTTTGAAGCTTCCTTATGATTTTCAGAAATAAAATAACCACATCTAACACAAAGACTCATTCCCCAACCAAAAGTTTATCACAAAAACAACACAAACTACCAATTTAGGGTTCAATGAACCATGTGCTTGAGCACTGGTTTGAGGAATGATTTTGCTCTCCAGTTCCCACTTTGACAAGAAAACAGAAACATTAACAGTTAAGTTTGACCTAGATGTACCTGGGTTTGGTTGGGTTTTTTTTTTTTTTTTTTTCAGCTCAGCCATAGAGTTGAAAAACAACCATACACAGCCTGGCCCTGAGCACTGCCCAGCTCCAAGGCTGGCTGCATAACCAACTGCATGAGCTAGGAACACACAGCAGTAACATCAGGTTTCTGAAAGTCTGTGTTGGTTCTGCATTAAGCTGAGCTTTTTTAGACTTTACAATATGTCCTACTGTTTCCTGGTTGCTTTGTGCAACCCTGGAGTGGTACAAACTGGATTCTTCCTCTAGGGAACCTTGGGTTCTGTTATCTTTTCTCCTTCCTCTCACTTCCCTCCATCTCCTTCCTTTTTGATGAACTGTTCTCATGGTTTCTGCCTGTGAAACACAGGCACAGACTCCTTGGTCTTGTAAGATGGCTATAGGGCAGGGAAAGGAGTGCACCAGAACAAGAGCTTGTTGCCTCATGGCAATAGGTGGGCGCTCAGCACACCCTAGGCAAGGGAGCCATGGGTGAGACCTCTCAGTGGGTCAGGAAAAGCCATGGCCCTTGGGTAAAGGAGCAGCTCCAGGGGACAGGCCTCTCTCCAGGCAGTGGGGTTTCCCTCTCCACCACCCTGCTCCTTTCAGGCACCCAGTACTGAGCACACACAGTTGAGATTTCCACGGAGGACATTAAGGGAGATATTGTCATAGAGGAGTGAAGTGTCAGGGGGAGAAGGGTTCTCTCTTCACCTCAGTGGCAAAATTGAGGGCTTCCGCTTTGAGGACGGGCTGAGAGTTGGGATTGTTCAGCCTGGAGAAGACTCTGGGGGAGACCTTATAGCAGCCTTTCAATATATTATGAAAGCCTGTTAAGAAAGATGGGGACAGATTTTTTTACTTGGTCTGTAGTGACAGAACAAGAGGTGATGGTTTTAAACTGAAAGAGGGTAGAGATAGACTGGGCCTAAGGAAGAAGTTCTTTACACTGAAGGTGGTGAGACACCAGCCCAGGTTGCCCAGCGAGGTGGTAGATGCCCCATCCCTGGAAACACTCAAGGTCAGGTTGGACAGGGCCCTGAGCAACCTGATCTGGTTGCTCACTGCCAGGGGTGGGGGTTGGAATTAGGTGATCTTTAAGGTCCCTTCCAACCCAAACCATTTTATGACTGTGACCACTGAGAAAGGCAGAGGCAGAAGTCTCAGGTGTTTTAGCTCTGGGCAGGATTCCTAACCTCCAGCCACTTCACTCTCTCCTGTCACTGAGAAATACTGGGAAAGGACTGGGATACAAACAAAAGGATTTGGGCAAACAAGAGCCAGAGAAGCACCTTTTTTTTTTTTTTTTTTTTTTTTTTTAAAAACTCCTCAGGAACCATAGCCAGGGAATTTATCAAGGTGATATGCTTGGAGGTTGAGAGAAACAGTCACTTCCACTGGAATAAGACAGCAAATCCAGGGTGCTGGGCAGAAGCTGGGGACATTCCTTTATCTCAGCCTGGGACTAGATCCTGGAGTAAGGAACAGAATATCTACAGGGTAACGATAAAACCCAAACCAGATAGTTCTATAGTTTTTATTTTAAAAACAGGAAACAACCACATTAATAAGCATATAAAACCCATCCAAAATATTCACAATGCTGTAACAGAAAAAAAAAATATAACAAAGAGATACCATGTGAGAAAGACCTACACATTTCAGTTCAAGCCAACACACATCTGAAGCAAAGTATGGAATGCTCTTATGTGCAGCTGTAAGGGGAAATTTCCTAACATATAGATGCCCATATAGAAATAGCATGTCTAGAAATGCTGGAGGGTCAAAAGTCTGTATAACTGAGCCAAAATATGAAAGTTGGGAAAGAAGTCGTATATAATACTTCTGAGAATAAATAAATATCTGGCATGGAAGCCTGATCAAAAGCAAGGGAAAACTGGATGTAGTAGGAGTGCACTGTGCAAAGCTGGAGATTTCAGATGAAGCAACAGGAAGTATTGCACAGCAGTGAGTTTTACTGATCTCTGCAACTGTTTCTCTTTAGGGAAGGTAGAAATGTCATTGCTCCAGTTACTGAAAATGCCAGATATACACCCCGAGAATATTTATCAATGGGAACATCTCTGACCTGCTCGGAAGCAGTATGGTGTTTGGAAAGCTTGGGCTATCCATGCTGTGACAGTTCTGTTGTCATTCCTGCCTTTCTGAGCCTTTCTTCCCTTTACCCACCTTGGAATCGGTCTGTGGGCCTGCCTCTCTTCTAGCATATCCAGCTATGAACTGGTTTGCAGGTAGACCTGAGTTTAATCAAGTCTGAAAAAAGCAGATTTAGAGCAGGAGTTTAAATTGGACCTACCTCTGTGCTACCTTAGGATAGCTTGTACCAGTCCGGACAGACATGGGCCTGGCGTCTCCCTCAACAGAGGACTGCAGTCAGTGAAGTAAAGCTCCTACTCCTGGGTTGTGAGTGTACCGTACGTGCTACTGCTCACCTTCCTGAACTGAACTGCGCTAGCTTGGCAGCAAGGGCAGGTGTACTCACACTCGCCGTCACCTAGCAGTATGACAAGCGGGGAGACCAATATTTACTGACATACAATTCCTGTCTGCCACATCCCTTTAAATAGAGGTGCCTACAGAGCTGTACACATCTACACAGCATGCTGATAAGCATCACAACATCATGCAGATCTTTCAGAGAGGACACATGGAGCAAAAAACACTTGGCCTTAGCACTACAGAGCTTTCACACGGCTAAACCAGCAACTTCCAGTAGCTCTGGTCTCTAGTCCTGCAGCCCCACCTTTATCAACTTGCACATGCCATCACTGACCATGCCTGTGTCCAGAAGGGTCATGCTCTCTCTAATATTTGTAACAATTTGCTAAGAAAATACAGCTTTGGAAAATGATTTTTATCCTTGCACACCTTTAAGTAATAATCTACTAATTTCAGAGTTTCTGACCTACTAGAATACAGCAGAGAAGTAAAAAAATAAAATTAAGAGAAGGCAAGAAGAGTTACCTTCTGGTTTGCAATCACCACCCTCAGTCATCCCATACAATGCTTAACCATGACTGAAAATAGAACCTAAAAACATCCATTTGCTGCAATACCACACTTCCCAAACAACACATATTTAAAATGGCCACTCGTAACATCCCAAACAACAGAGATTTTGGTGGACAAACAAACATACCTCTTCTCACTAGTACGCAGCTCTTTGAATTTCCTTCCAGAGGGCACAAATAGCTTAAAGGTGATGTGCATAACTGGCTCTGTCGTACGTACCATCCAAAATGCCCAGTCTCCTGTTCCATACCACATTTCTCCTTTACAGTCTTATTGCACCTCAAGTCTACAGCATCTTTTGTTAGAATAGCTATTTCTCTTAAACATCTTCCATTTCATTATCTGTACATTTTTGTACACCATTAAAAAAATAAATATTTACAACCTGACATACGAATAAATAAATTTAAGTAAAAGTATGCTTACAGTCTGTCTATACAAAAAATAAAAGAGCAGGGAAAAAAATATGCATGTAACTTGGTCCCCTTTTTCCTGAGGCTGAAAAAAGTGCACACTGGATAAGGAAAAAAAAAAGCAAGGAGATGGCTTTTTGGTAGGCTTGTTAAATTCCAGTGTAACACTGCACACACACGCACACAGAGTAGACTCAAAAGGGCCGGGGACTTGTTTAGTGGGTCACTTCAACTCACTACAAAAATAGTAGTTAGATTCAAATACGCGACGGTCACCGCGTGCATTAAGTGTACATTAACCCCAAATAGCAATTACAGGTGAGAAAAGCGAAAAATATTGCCAGCTCTTCTCCGTTCTCCTGATGTTTTGTGACAGGGAAGATGAGATTATTTTTGCAAGTGCCAGGTGCCTTCCAGTACTTGAAAATGGGATCAACCATATTAGATTTGCTGGTAAGCCTGGCACAACAGGTGAGTATGTGGGTGCAAATAAGAAAATAGCAGCAATTGAGGGGGAGAAAAAATGTCCCAGTTCTCATGGTTTTCTTTGCTCATTCCTTTAATGACTCTTTGTGCATGTAGGAGTCGAAGAATGGGTGTGGCATGAATCTTAGGCAACTTCTTTGTCAGGTTTTATGCTGTTCAGCTCCACCATGGGGTTCTTCTCTACAGGTGATGTGGGGCTGCTGTCTGCTCGTCCTTCAAAGCCCCTGGAGATGTCTTCAAAAGTCCTGCCCTTGGTCTCCGGCACTTTGAAGAATGTGAAGACAAAGAAGATGACCAGGAAAACAAGGAAGATGAGGAACACATAGGAGCCACATAGTTTCTGCAGGGAAGACAAAAGCAGGAGGCTTTAATTTGAAAAGCTCATAAACCTAAACACAAGGTCATTTCCTGTTGACAGGTCAAATTCTAACACCTTTCTCCAACAATGCCCTTACTGACTTTTTTTCCCCCCAACACAGCATTTTTTAAAAAGAAATCAAGTTCCTGTGGGCTTCTGACATGCTTTCATGTTTCTAGGGGTGACCAAAATTGAGGCTTTTAAAAGGGAAAGCCTTGATGTGCTAATTAAGGTGGCTCTTCCAACTATTTCTAAGCTACAAGCAGTTACAACAGCAGAATATAAGTTGAGCCACAACACACTCAACCTTCAGTAACAATCAGAACTCATAATCAGGAACCTCTGGAAGACTGACCAGCCCTCTGCTCAAAGCAGGGACAACATCAAGGAGAGATCAGGTTGCTAAGGGTCATACAGTCACACTTTGACATCTCCAGGGATGAAGAGTCTACAACCACTCTCTGGACACCTATTCCAATACTCCAACACTCTCAGTGCTTTGCAAACTGAGTCTTTACCTCTGCATAGGGGAAGAGCATTCCCACCAGGAAATTAGAAGTCCAGTTAGAACAACCAGCCACTGCCATGGCTGCAGGCCGTGGGCCCTGGCTGAAGAGTTCTGCCACGATGAACCAGGGGATAGGGCCAGGGCCAATCTCAAAAAGAGCCACAAAGCCAAAAGTGGCAACAATGCTGATGTATCTGATCCACTCCACAATGTCCTGCAAGGGAACAAAACACAATCAGTTGCAATTTGAGAAGCAACTATGACACAGCGCGATGCCATCTCCAGTGTCACAACTGCCTTGGGTAAACTCTGTGGCACGGTGTCCGCAGTTTAGGAAGGTGTGTTCACCACAGGCTCAGCTCTAGCCCCAGCTGTACCTGCCTACAGGGCAGAACTGCAGGGCAAGGCAGAGGGACAGCCAGATAAGATTCCCTGCTGGGGTCAGCCTGGACAAGAACACTAATTACTCACCTTCAGAGCTAAAGCGACGGTCATGAGAACGGCACACACAGCCATGCCACCCAAACCAACTAAATGGAGGGTTCTGCGCCCCGCACGCTCCACCAGGAACAGCTGGAAATATGGCAGGAGAAGGGAAAAAAAAATAATCTGTGAGTATGGCATCCAGAACAGAAGAGGCTCCCTCACTCAGTGTGCCCTGCACCTCTTATCTGCCTGTAGCCCTCAGTGCCAGTGGTGATCTCAGCACAGGTCACCAGGCTGCTCCATCCTTGGCACAAGTTTTCCCTCTCTGGTTCTTGCTACTGCCCTCTCTCATCATTCTTTTCCCCCCATACCCTCCTTTTCACCCTCCCTTTCTTCTTAAAAGCATAACACCACCTCTTTCTGTCCTCCTCTCCTCCCACAATGCCTTTAATGCATCCTTTTCTTGGCTCCTATAAGCCATTGCCTAGCCCAATGTTTTGCCACAGCCTGGCTACTGATCTTCAGTCACATCTCCCAAAAAAGCCCAGACAGACAGGTTACCCCTCAGCACAAAGCCCCGTTCCACTTACCGACACAACAGTGAAGACTGTGTTTACCACCCCAGCTCCAATGGTGGCATACACAGGCTGTGTGATACCAGCTCTTTCAAAAATCCCAGTAGAATAATAAAATACCTGGAAAGAGAAGCAAAGAGTTGGACACCATCACAATCCCAGTGTTTGAGAGCATGCCTCTATGTTCCCTGCCTAATGGCTTGCAAGTCCAACAGGGAGTTTTTAAGAAGCACTCAGCCGGTATATGACAACACACCTCCAGTCAAGGTTCATCCCCTTGATGCAAGGCTGCAGTGCATTGCTGGGGGGTGTATGGGAAAAGCAAAAGGCAAGATAATCTCCACCTTTCATCTTAGAAATCTCTGCAGTTATCACAAACTGTGACCTCCAGTCAAGGTGCAGAGAGGGGTTTTTGGAAACACAGTTGTCTCAAAGTTAGTGGCAAGCACAGCCAGCAATAAGGGAGAGCCAGCAGATGGGGCAGGAAGGAAACTCACAGCATTGATGCCTGAGAGCTGCTGGGAGAGCTGCAGCATGATGGCAATGATAATGGCTTGACGGTAGTTTGGAGAACGGAAGAGTTCTGGCACAGTTGCTTTCTTTTCCTGGGACATTTTAGCACTTTCTTCTTTCATCTCCTGGATGTCTTGAGACACATCTTGTGTACCACGGAGCTTTTGGAGAACTGCATGGAAGAATCCAAAAATACCAGGTATGATATACCCATGGCCAGTAGGTTCCCCCCACCTGGCCCTGCTGTTTCAGGGAGGGCACACTGGGAAGACTGGACCACCTGCCAGTCAGTGTTTGGACCTGCTACATGGGAAAGACCAAGCCCCTACGTGCAGCCTTGCTCATCTTTCCAACCCTGAGGTCAGGCTACTGTGATCAGCATGGAAACCAGGCCCAGGTCCTGCTCACCTTGCTTCATCTTCATCTCCAGACTTACATTTGATCCCTAATTCTGTTCACATGCTTTTTTTGTCAGAGCTGACTCCAGCTCTCTGCAGGAGAGGGAAGCACCTTCCAAGCTCCTTGTTCCATGTCAGCCTACTTCCTACATTTCAGGAGGAGCTGAGAGAGCTGCAGCAGCTGGCCCTGCTACACCCACCAGCCCAGGTGCCACTCCTCACGTCTTAATCCCACCTGGAGCCTCTGTTGGCATGTCATGTGTCCCACATTTCCTGGCACTAGTACAACTTAAAGGATGGGAGGGGGTAGGCCTGGTGCATCCCCAGGAGTCACCCACCCTAATCCACCACAGGCTGCAGAGTCAATGCTGGCCTCCCACTCAAGTTCAACACAGGCTGGAAGCCAGAACACAGCCCTGCCCCTTCAGAGATGAGTTCTTACCTGCTTGTGCTTTCTCTTCCTCCATCTTGTTGATCAGTAGGAAACGGGGGCTCTCAGGGCAGAAAAGAAGAGCCACACACTGCAGGATTGCTGGGAGGACAGTGAACCCCAAAAGCAGTGGCCAAAGTGCTTCGGTCCCCATGATTCCCTCCAGGCCAAAGATCTACACCAAGAATTGGTGAGAAATAAAGTGATTTAAATACTCTGATTCCTCACCCTCTCACCAGCAAGTATGACAGGACCACATACCACATCTGTGATGGCAAGTGCAGCCCACCTCACCCTCCCCCAGCCCCCCTTTCCCCTGAGGGCAGGATCAGGTTGTGTCAAGCCTACCTGGGCCACCAGAATGCCCACAACAATGCCGAGCTGGTTGAGGGTGCCAAAGGCTCCACGCAGGCTGGTGGGCGAGACCTCACTGATGTACATGGGCACAAAGCCAGTGCAGAGACCACAGAAGAGGCCAATAATGAAGCGGCCAATAATCAGCATCTCCACCGCCTTTGCCATCTTAGAGAAGGCCATGAAAGCGCCACCAGCAAAGGCCAAGATGTTCACCAGCAGCATGGAGTTCCTCCTGCCAGGGTAAAGATGTCAAGACTGAGCTTAAATTGGCAATAGCATGGGAAAAGTCACTGTGAAGGGGGGAAACCTACCCATGACCTGCCCCATATCAGGGGTGGGAGGAGATGAGAGTAATTCCTGTTCAACTCCTGCCTTAGCCTCCAACCCTTTCTTTCTTTTTACAGCCCATACATTCTTGCTTCCTCCCCAGCCACCACTGTCATTTCCTTTTCCTCACTTATCACCTCTGACCTGTTCCTCCCAATACTCTATTGCAGAAGGAAAAAATTCCCTAATGGCTTGGATCCCTCTTCCCAACTTACCTGCCAAATCTGTTGACGAACAAGCTGACCGAGAAGGAGCCGACCATACCTCCTACCGAGAAGATGGCCACAGAAAGGGACCACAGAGAGGTGAGGAGCTCTGGGGAGACAGCCTCTCCACTCCGTTCTGACAAGGTTCTGTTGAAGAAACCCTGGATGATCTGCAAGAGAAACCAGGTGGGGACAGAGTTACAATCCAGTGGGAGGCATTTTGCACTGGGGAAAAATTGCTTCTGAGCTCTTTCCTTCTGTTTTCATGGTGGTAAGAAGCAAGAATAGACCCTAAAAATTCAGCAGGCAGCAACAAGTCATACAAGGGGCAGATCAGGGTGCAGAAAAAGCCAACTTTCATTGAGAAGTTCAGAGACAGGTAGCAGTATGATGAGGGAGGAGAGATTGCTTCACTGAACATGGTGGGGGTGGGCCAGTGATGATTAAGGAAACAGGTTTATCTTCTGAATGTTTCTGGATGATGCGAGTCACTAGTCGTGCTTGAGGGGGTGTGAGATAAGAGTCAGGAGTAAGAGGGAGCAAGAAACACAACCAGAGAATGAAAAGGAACATTTCTGGCAATACCAGAACTCTAGCAGCCAGGATGGGCTGCCTGAGATGGAAATAGTTTAAGAGAGACAAAGTTTCACCGAGCTAAGCCTGAAAGACTGCAGCATAATGTAAAATAGTCCTTTGTTGTGTCATGGGCATGTGACAGGGCTGTGCTGCTGATTTCCAACGCATCCTCTTTGATAATGAGGGAAATTCTGCAAGGGCTGAGGGGGACATAGCCCCACAGTGTCTGACCCCGGCAGATGGCAGCAGGACATTAGCTAGGGAGGACCCCCCACACATGTGATGTGACATCTATTCCCGGAGACAGGGTGGATGTGGTATTGGTGACTCAGTTCCCGAGAGAGAGAGAGAGGAACCATCTCATAGTTACAAGAAAACCGCGTTTCTCATTTTCTTCATCTCTTCTTTCTTAGGCTACAGTCATGAGATGATTCGGTCAGAGCACCCCAGTCACAACCCTTTTACAAGCACCAAATCAACACCTAACCCAAGGAATGAAAAAACAAAGAAAGAAGCCCGAGATGGTCCCTGTGATAAACTAAACTAGAGCAACTGTAATCCCCATCAACCCTCAACTCTTTTCTGCACGCTGCTCTCTACATTCCGTCAGCCATGGCCGGTTTATTCTGACTTAAAACTGAAGTGGCTCACATTCCTCCTCACACCAAATATAGATCTACCAGGAAATGACAGACAGACCCCTTCTGCACTCCTAATTCAGAGAATGAACCTCTCTGCTTGCTCTCTCTCCTCAAGACTTTGCCCTTCCTGTCCACTGTTGTAGTTGAGAGGGGGTTTTGAATGTCTTCCTGACTTCATAAAGCAGAACCAAATTATTAGCTGTCTTGCAAACAGCTCCTCTCCTTTCCACACTTTTGTTTTCTCATCAGCCCTTCACTCATACCAACCTCCCCAACTCATCCTCCCTCTTACCTTCTCAGGAGCATTGATGACACCAGTGTTGTACCCAAACTGGAGAGATCCAATGGCAGCAATGGAAACAGCATAGATAAGGGGTGCTGTGATTTTCTGTAGAAAGAGAAAAAACAACAATTACTTAGTTAATTTGGTTATTATATTATGCTTTCTACACACCTGGAGTTTCTCTTCAGCATAAACAGAGGCTGCAGCTCACAGGTGCCATGTGCAAGCACAAGGAATGGGCTTTTATCCAGCAAGGGTGGGTACCAGTAACAGAGACCCTGGAAAGGGAGATGCAACTGCACAGCAGGAAAAAGTTCTGTGCCTGTAAGTAGAAGGGCCTGTCAGGACCTCCCTTTATTATCTCCTGACAGTCGTCAACAGTTGGCATCTCATTAATAACCAGTACACTGGGGCTGCATTAGTGGCTGTTATTTTGGGTGGATCTGCTTTATAGAAAAGCTTTTGCTGATCTCTGGCATGTCATGAAACAAGGGCCTAACTCTTCCCCGTGCCAACCAACAAGTTCCCATAAATTGAATCTCCAATCTGCCCATGAGCTATGCTGGCAGTCACTCCTAACAGTTAGAACATGCACTCTTCAGCAACAGGCCTGCTTTTCCCAGGCCAGAGCTTCCCAACCCTGCCCCAGGGCACCTGGCAGCACTGCCAACCTTCCCTTCTGCTGCCAGCCTTCCCTCCCGTTTGTTTTCCTTGATGCTGTGGCAATACTTGGTATTTCAAATGAAGCACAGCCCTCAGAATTTTTGAGTCTGTGTGAATTGCTCTTTATTAAATTAAAATAAACCTCTGAGCCCTCAGAGCTAGAGAGGAAGCTTGAAGGTCCAACCTCAGAAGTCCCACAGACTGAGAAATTTAAGTGCCAGTGAAAAGCATCTGGCATTTTCTACATTTTTAAAGCTTGTGGCATTTAAGCCAGCACTGTGTTAGGGAGGTGTGGGGAAGCAGGTGACTCAGGAGTTGGCACTTAGACAGCCAATGCTGGAGTTGGCACAATTTGGGAAGATCATGTTTCTGTCTGAGAAGAGACTGGAAGCTTTTCCAAAAATATTAACAGTCCCTTTTCCAAGGCTTTCCAATTGTTGTCCTAAGGCTGGCAGGGGAGAGGAAAGTACTCCATGGTGCCCACTGTCACAGCTCTTCCAGTCTCTCGCCTTCCGGCTCAGCTCCAGGAAGGAAGGGCTCCCAAGGCTGACTTAAATTTTTGCCAATAACCATCTGCCAGCGCTCACACCACCTTCACCAGTTCTTTCAAGCCAAGGATGAAGGTGCTTCTGGGCCTGCACAACCCCCACACAGCTACCAGTTAGGCCCCAGTAAATAGAAACTGGGGAAATGACTCTCAGGCATGGTTTCCCCCACCTACATCACACAAATGTCTCAGGCTGAGCTCTCTTCCTTCTGAGGTTAGTGATGGAGATAAAGGGGACAAGGCCCTTTTCTTGCAGGGGCAGATGATTCCCAAGGTACCGTTCACACCTAAGCACACCCTAGGCAGTCCAGGTCTTCTTCTCCCCACCACCCTGTGAGCACTCCTTTCATTTTTATCACAAGAAAATTTGGCTCAGAACCAGGGCACAGCTCTTTCAAAGCAGCTGGGTGCCTGTAAAAGGGCATTAATACATCTAAGCACTTTTAGGCCTGCAGGCCAGGTCATCCCTAGTCAGCAGCTACAGCAAAACTGAGGACAAAACTCAGCTCTCCACATTTTCACCACAGTGACTCAAACACAAAAGCACCCTTCCCCCCAGGGCTCTGCTTTGTCATGGCTGGCTGTGCTCACAGCTGGCCTTCTTTGGGTGCAACAGGGATCACAGGAGACCTGCTTCATGGGTACACCTAACCTGTGTGATACATATATACATCAGGTTAGTTCTTCTACCCTCTTTCATACTCCCTTCTCCTGGGTTTTCCCTGCTATTCATCTCCTATCCAGTCTCACACCACCCAGACACCACATGGCCTGACCGTGATCTAATGTATGGATCATTTGTTACTGGTGGAAGTGCCTCACTTCCCAAAAGGCAAACAGGGAGCTCAGAAATAGCACAGCTACACACACCCCCACCCGAGGGCTCAAGGCTGAGGTCTGTACACCGGCAAGGAACTCAAACCACCACTCCTCCCTCCGACCACAGCCAGCAGCAGGGTTCATTATCCAGGAGATGCTTCTCACCAGGCCACCTCCGAGCAGCACAACTTGTTGAACCCACTAAAGGGGCCTCTCAGCCCCATCAGAGCGACCTTAGGCAGACACTCCCCTTCCCTCTTACCCACATCTCCCATCAAAATCGTGGGGAGGGCCCCGGCCTCCCCTGAAATCATAGAATCCCAGACTGGTTTGGG